AGCACAGTTCCTAGGCGTCGCCGTCAGAACCTGAAATCGCACAAGCCATTCATAACAGAAATTTTGGTAGCAAAACAAACGTTCGTATTCACGAGACATCTTTGTTGGACACACGAATTGCCGGTAACTAACGTTTAGTCCTGTGTTTTGCCAACTAATTAAAGCCGTCCCTTCGTCCCTGATGCTTCGCAAGGCCCCTACTTGAAACAAACCTAATAGTCGTCATTAAATTACTTAGCCGTTAGACTGCAACGCGCCGGAACACAGTTCATCTTACGTACTCACGCAGTCTAATTAAATTATGAAAACCATTCCCGAGATAACATGATTAAAAAGTTAACACGTGCTATAAATAAACCCCTTTAAATACGAGCGCTATATGAAGGTTTCTTGTAGCATTTGCTTCGAGAAGTTACCGCCCAGTGTCCCAGCGATACTAATTGAATAACCTTCTACCCCCAGGTCACCCGAGACAACCCCCCACCCCATCTCACCTTCATCCCTCTATTACAGTAACAACGCGTGTAATTCTGTAATGAAGAATCACCAAGCAGTTCGAATGACTTGGGTAATTCTGCAACTTTCACGATTCACCTTCGCCACAGCTCCAACGAACATTATCCTCCTTGATAAACTGATAGTTGCTCACCTGGACAAGGTCTTACTGTACCAGAATCTTCGTGAGTGTAATCCAATATCACACTCAATTTATAAGCACTGAATTTCTAGTGCAAATTAAGTAATCGTTGGTTCGACTCCAATCCCGAGTTCACAAACATGTTTGCTAATAATCCATGACAGGTGAAATGCTCTTTCGTCAAAAAACATGACGTCGACCAGTCATTATCATAACAACCACTTCTAATGTCTGGATTAACCTAACTCAACCTAACCTAAAGTAACCGAACCTAACCTAATTTAACCTAAACAAACCTAACCTAACCTAACCTAACCTCACCCTACCTAAGACAATCCAAGACCTGCATTATCTTTACACGTCTTAGGCCCAAGTTTGTGGGGTCTCCCACTGGATCGAGTTCAATAAATTTTTAATTCAAACTTCATCATTTTGAAATCCCTATACTCGAACTTAAACTAAGACGCATCGTGTTTTAGGTTTTCGTGTTAGTCATTCTTCGGCGTCTGTTTACTTCAGCGCAGAAACTTAAACGTTTCTGCAGAAAGGACTCCTTCAATTGGCACCGACACCTCGTCACTTGTAACCTACGCCATTAGCGAAAGCGTCCTGACCGGTGGCGACAAGTACTTCAGACGTAGCTCTGAGCTAATTAGCCTGCCACGGCTCGCGCACCACACTGCACATTCTAGTGAGTTGGTTGGTCGGCCAATGGATTCTAACTGGCTTGGAGTTGTATTCCAAGAAAATTTGTCACCAATGGGGCATCCTAATATCACTCGCTCTGTTTGAGGTTTATAATGCGATTTCAGCTTTAGACGTTACATTACAGAACTAAGTCGAATAGATAGTCGATGTAAGTAAAGGAAGATTGAAGACATATGAAAATGGGTGGATCCTCTTCCTCTTTTAATGGAGTACGCTAAACATGAAGATGGCTGTCTTCTGGGATGTTGGACCGTATAGTGTAGTAGACGTTTACCGATTTTTCAGAACATCCTACTGTTTAAGGGTGGTGATGGGGACACAGCGCCACTGAAACGTCTGAAAATTCTACTAGGCTACTTATTTATTTAGTGTTCTGTCTGAGGACAGGTCCATATGAACAGGATCCTTCCATCCTTTTCTCGGACTGGGACCTGTTCATATACGTTCTTGGCAGATGATCCAGAAGTGGTTTGCCATTGCCTTCTTCTGCGTGTGAATGGAGTAATTGTTGGGATGCCACAGAGAAACCGGGGAAGCCCCCGGAGGAAAACCCCGTGTTGCCTAGACCACGATCTTGCCCAACACAAGTTATAAATTCCGGCACCGCCGGGAATCGAACCCGAGACACCAGGATTACAAGGCCAGCGTTCTAACCGCTAGCCCACCTCATCTTATTATTATTTAGTGTTCTGGCTGACGACGTGTTGCCTAGACCACGGCCTTGCCCAACACAAGTTATAAATTCGGGCACCGCCGGGAATCGAACCCCAGACCCCCCAGGATTACAAGGCCAGCGTTCTAACCGCTAGACCACCGTGTAAGGTACCAGGCTACATAACGCAAGATTACAAGAGACAGTCATCCTTAAATCTGCGTCATGAGAACCTGAAATCTCATCTTCTAATCACATTCGATTCTAAGAAACTTCAGTGCAACAGTACTCAGAAGCTGACAGTCAAGAAATTCCTCGTGTTATGCAACCCGACAAAACCTTGCACTGGGTCGCATCTTGAGCCAGCTGAATCCATTCCACGCCCTAATAGCCTATTACATTAAAAGCTAGCCTTCCATCTACAACTACATCTTCCAAGATGCCACGACTAAAACTACGCGTGCTACATGTCCAGCTCATCTGATCCTACACATTATACAGCGTCGTTAAATGCCTACCACTGATGGGGGGGTCAAACCTTAGAGTTTCCATCTATTTTAATGAAAGTTTGATTAATTTCTAATACATTATACAACGTCATTTTGGAGGAAAACAACGCTTCATTAAACGATACAAACATTTCGTGTCCCCCCCCCACCCAAAAGGCAGTAAGTTGGTAAGTGGTGGATGATTCGATCTGGCCGCCAGAGGGAAGCAACATCTCGCAGGGGGACGGAAGTTCTGTAGCAAAAGGGGAGTCGAGTCGTAAGATTAATTTAACACTCATCACTGTAATGAAATGCCTGAT